AGCTAAGTATAAACAAACTTTAAATAGTTTCGTAGTTACATACCAATAAAGACGTAGCATGCATATTATTTATTTATGCTTTAAAAAAGTAGTTGCCCTGGCTTTCTTGCTGGTTCTCCAGGGCAGAGGTATTCTATCAGTGATAAAAGTAAATAAAAACGAGTGTACTTATGACCACACGACTGAAGTAAAACTTCTTTAGCTCCATCATCATAATCTCAATCATATATATATATATATATATATATATATATATATATATATATATATATATATATATATATAACAGATGGAGCTAAAGAAGTTTTACTTCAGTCGTGTGGTCATAAGTGTATATATATATATGTCGCCGCTAGATAGTCGACACTCGACCTTATTGCGTTTCTTATAAGGCGCTTAATATAATGTTATTGTATAGAATCATACACCAACCGTAGATTCAACCAATCACACTACACAAATACTCACCTCGTCATTCCCCACACCCGACACTCACATTCAGTGTTGGGAAATGTACAATAATTATTGGATTCTTACAATAATTTGTTACACGAAACTAAATTGTACCATAAAACATAGCTTTCTCATTAGTGTACGCTTTTATACAATATCATCTCCTAGTTAAAGACCCAATTAAAGTAGTTTAGTAAGTTAACTAGCATTCGTTATCAAATTAAGAGGTATATTGATCATAAAAAATTATTTCTTGTTTAATAGTTAGGTTATAAGTTCCTTACGGAATTAGTGAAGATTTATGTCGTAATACGTAAAACAGACGAGGCTACTATTTTCAAATTACATTAGATTATTTATTGATTTCGCAATAAAAAAATCTACATGTTCGAAAATAACTTAAAATAATACATTATGGTTTGTGGGCTTTAATTGAAAAATTTTACATTGTGTAACCTTAGAATCATTTCAAAAATTGAAGTTAACAAATATCTTATTAACTTTTTTTAAATTAAATAAGGGTGTCAAACGAGCACACAGTCCAAAAGTCCAAAGATGTTAAGTGGGTGCTGGGGCTCATAACCATCTACATCTATCATGCGTCCCTAAAGACTATTATTTTTTGCTCGTTTCCAGTAAAAATGATCTTCGGTTCTCTAAACTCACCATACGAAATATATCAACATTAAGCTGTTATTTCACGCTGGTAACCTGTGATAGTTTTGGAGCAAAAACAGCGTGTAAAAGTTTGAAAAAGCCAGAAGTCACGGAGATATGCGAAATAATAAATTTAGATGTACCTATATTGAATACGAAATAATAAGAAAATACGTTTTTCTGAATAGATTTTAAGCAGTTTAAAGGACATAGAACTGAAACCCCTTCACAAGTTAATGTCATCAAGGCTAATGACATCTACTTAAGCACGGATTGGCCGACGAGTTTGAATGAATTACAGCGGTATAAACACGCGATATGTCTTCATAAGGAAATAACATTTGCAGTTAACGTAACTTTTATCAGATCCGCTATTTTCACTTATGACAAGTTATTTTCTTAAATTGAATTCTTGAATTTTTTTAAACAATTACATGGCCAATGTATTTTTTTTATAATCATTTAGACTATGGAAATTCGGATTAAAAATAATATTATAGTACAAGAAAGGTGATGACAGCGTAATAAATTTCTCAATTTTTGTTTTTAGTAAAATTTAAGAAAATCATTGCATAATCTTGACTGATCAGTTACACTGTACCATTACACTACATTATAAATTTCAAGCTTAAATTAAATTACATGCACCAATCAGGTGATTTAACAAATGTACGTGGGCGCAGGCAATGTTTTAACTGCCGTATATCTTGTGCAAGTAATAGGTATAAAGTGAATAAACTTCAATATGTATGGATGACAAAATTGAAAAATATCTGATCTGATACCTCTATCTGATAAATCATTAAAATAGAAATAATAATAGATGATTCTGTTAAATGTAATTACAAGATTACTTATTGTAACAGAATAATAAAAGAATTTAATAAATTCATAATTTTGTCTTGAACACTGAAGACTATATATAAATCTTATTAAATAACCGAGAAAAAAAAACAATTGTATCTGCTATTAATATAACGTAGTTAGAGAGCGAACGACTTGGGGTCTTGAAATACAGGAAAACTACTTTAGGCTTCAGCACGCCGCAAAACCACCAAATCATTATATATTTCTGTTACGTTTGTTAGTAAACCAATCTATATTCATTTGTGGCGGAGAAATAAATATAATTTTCATTTTCATTATAGAAGCTTACTTTTTACACGTGGTAGAGCTATGCTGCAGCTACGTTGTGGTTGCAGCACGAATAGGTCCGCTCGACCGGGGCAGGACCACGCTCTAACATAATACCAGCGCAAAATAGCAGCTTAATGCTGCTGTGTTTCGTATGGTGAGTGTAGAGAACCGGAGATCCTTTTTTACCGGAAACGAGGCATTCCATCTCAGTCCTCAGCACTTGCAACGCATCTGCATTTTAATTCTTAATTGAAGATAAATTTTAAAGACTATGGACCACAGCATCTACTTACCATCAGGTGGACTGTGTGCTCGTTTGTTACCCTAATTCTATAAAGAAAAACTTATGTACTCAAAAAAATAAATAGATTTAACAAGATATAATTTATAACGCAACATTTTAATTCCAAACGCAACATGACATCTTAATATATATATATATATATATATATATATATATATATATATATATATATATATATATATATATATATATATATATATATATTACGTGTCACGTTGTTTGTCCGCTATGGACTCCTAAACTACTTTTAACCGATTTTAATCAAATTTGCACGTGAGCAGTTTGGTCCAACTTGAAGAGTTAGGATAGTTTTTTTGCCCATGAGTGACTTTTTTTTGGGAATTTAAGGATTTTTAATAGGACATGACAAACGGTCGTCGAAAGTGGCAGAACAACGTCTGCCTGGCAAGATAGTTTAAATATTAAAACAATGTTAACATAATAGAATTTTAGATTAACAATTAGAAATATGTCAATGTAATTAAGGTGTATTATTAGGACTCTGATTTCTATGTCAGTCTTCCAAGAATTCAATATATATATATATATTACTGCGATGATACATCACGGCTGACACAATTCTTTATGGTCGAAATTTTAAAGTACTTACATAGAATTGTTAAACTTGGACTACATTAATATTAGTCAACTACTATTTACTTAATTGCAAGACTGTTTGTAAGTTACTATATTTATATTTAAGATAGTTTTATCCAATTCTTTTATGTGAAAATCATACTGGATGACTTTTTTATCGTCTGGAAAAAATAGGGTGTAACAGGTGAACGGAGTAGTCTATGAAATTTTACTACTTTTTTTCTCGCACAAAGAAAATTTGATTTCCAGTGTTTGTGTACGAAATTTGAAGTCGCAATTCAGCAATTTTTTCTGAATCTATTTATATTCTCAAATTAATGCACCAAACTACCTACATTTTTGTAGTAATTTTATGTAGTTGGGTCCATAATCATATTGTTGACTAGCTGTTCCGCGCGACTTCGCCAGCGTTATTACGAATTTATTTCATGGATATTAGTTCTTTTTTTGGGCGGAATCCTAATTCCTTTTTTTAAATAAAAGTAGCCTAATTTACTCGTTATAATCGGTCAGGAACAATAATAAAATAAAATTATAAAAAAATAAACAAAAAAAAAATAGCAGGAACAAACAGACAGACAAAAAGTTTAAAAACCATTTTTGTGTCATAAGTACCATATACTTTCATATACATATAGGAAAAAGCTGTTATAATTATAAAATGAAATATATTAAAGTGTTTTGACATTACAAACGGGTAACTAATCCATCCAATACGTTTACGTAAACGTGATACGTTTTAACGTAAATTCTTGTATATATATATATATATATATATATATATATATATATATATATATATATATATATAATTGGAATCTCGGAAACGGCTCCAACGATTTTCATAAAATTTAGTGTCCAGGGGGTTTCGGGGGCAATAAATCGATCTAGCTAGGATTCATTTTTAGAAAATGTCGTTTTGTCCGTGTTTTCAGGCAATGAAAACTGCTACAATATAAGAAGGTAAATTTTGGCAGAAGGTTAATGGTTAGAATAGCTCAAACGGGATGTCGTGCGGTCCCGAAATCGTAGTACCCAGGTTAGAGTCCTGTCTTCGGTTCGACTTTTTTCCTTTTTTTTTTCAAGTTCCCTCATTTTGTGAGAAAATTTATTATTTCCAGCCCTTTTTTTTAGTTTTTTTTTAAAACACAAAAATTTAAATTAAACTAATTGCACTCATGATTTTTTATTCAAATAACCAGAAAAAACTGTTTTTCTATTATATCGCTAAAATCCAAAAATATTCTTCATATTTCATCGGTATGTAATTTATATCTAAACATAATATCAAAAACACACGTACTCCAGGTCCTCCAGGTCATCCAGGTACTGTTGTTTATTTGTATAGATGCATATATGAGTGATGAAATATATGAGTTCGAAATAATCATTTATTATATTTTGTTGCCGGTAACTTATTTTCAATCATTAGTTGAAAGTTATTTGTAGGATAAAATACAACATAAAGTTGTATATAAAATAGTTCAACTGGTGCACTTTCATATTCAGGCTTTAATTTAGTTGATGGATAACTTTTACCCGATGATTTAAACATCAGGCCTTAATATTTCAGACTGTAGGCAAGTATGCTACCTAAGTGCTACTAACGACGTAAATAAATTGGATTTTGATGCGTTTTTAATGATTACATACTCAGATTTATCTATGTTTATTGAATTAAGTAAAAATGACAACGTTGTAGCTATTCCTAAAATATTTGTTATTAAAATAAATCGTAAATTGTTAAAATATAGTGAATATGACAAAGATTTAAAATTTTTGAATTTGTACTAAACGACTACAAGCATGCTAATTTATTCAATCATTATAATCTAAATGTAAATATACGTACTCAGATAAGATGGCGACAGTTGTAGCTTCCTTTCCTTCGGCGGCGTGCTGTATACAAACGCATGATTAACGCAGCCGTGGGTCTGACTTGCGACCACCTCACCCTCGGAACCTCTTCTTGTGCGACTTGACACTGCTAGCTCGGTTATCAACTTCGCAGACTCCGATTTACCCATGACTTTTAATTTCTTTTTTCCTTTATGTTTAATCGGTGAATTGATATGTAATATTGCCGCGGCTTTAGGTGGTACCATCTCTGGCACGATTAGTTCTTTAGCTGATGCACTTTTTTGTTTCTTATTTGTAAACAAATCACTGAATTTCCCTTTCTCTACTTTCCTATGCTGTTGCGGCTTCAAAGTCAAGTCTATGTTGCCACTTTTGCGCCTCGGTTTTACGTTTTCCGATCTTCTCTTTGCCATTATTGGTGTCTTTGATTTGTAAGTGCCCTCTATTCCTGTATATGCTACGTTGTATTCCTTTTCAGCGTTCCAAATATGCGTTGTGAATACTACGTCGCGGTTAATGTCAATGTTATCTGATTCGTCTTCCTTGGTAGACCGCCAACGGTTACCTATCAGTCGTAAGGAAGCGCGGACGGATCGGGTCCTGCGGAGGCCTCCTTGCTCCCTTTTGAACTTATCGAAGAGGGTTTCCATAGCCCTTTGAGGGGTAGTGGGGCGCGCGGGGCCCTGGGCATTGCACGTTTCTATCGACCACGCGCACGCTATTCCCCCGAACTACAGTTACGTGAGTCGTAGTCTTTCCGACGTTCACTCGAAGCGGCGTCGGTTGGCTGAATGCTGCCTATAACAATTTAGATACTATTAGGGCTGTGCGACCCCAGACCTCGTAGTAGCCCGGACCTGAGCCGCGGATGCGATTGAATGATAAACTGCTCTCATTTACTCAATCTCACAGGTCGATAAGATAGGTATGTCTGATACGACTGTTTAAAGATCGTATGTCACCGGCACCGAGATTTGTTACGTGGCGTAGTGCAAAGATAAACGTAAAGAACGCATTTTTGTAAGTTGGTTTTAATTTGTGTGACGGCTGGCTCCTTTTGACTCCATATAGAATTGTTAAAGCTTTCGTTTTGCAATATAACTCGGACATTGTTAGAGGGTGATTTACGACTACTTCTACACGCGCCTGGCAAGGCAATCCGCTTTGATCAAACTTACCTCATTTATTATGCACGGTGAAATAGGCAATTACACGGTGTAAACATTGTTTTAAGGTCAGTTAACTAATCAAATTTTAGTGTGTTGTACGCATTAGTTTATATGTAACGCTATTACACAAGAACATTTTTATACGTAAAGTTCTAGGAAACGCAGAAGTAATGTGTGAAAAATCGTGAAGTTATAACAATGCGGTCGCATGCATAACGGTTCACGTTAAAACTGTTTAATTTTCAATTTATTACAAAACAAAACCACAAAGGCTCATTTAATACAGTGAAAACAATTAACCTACTTTAGTCAATAATTGTCACGTATATTCTTTGCGAGAATCAGGGTATACAAAAGTCAGTTACATAACTCAATTAGTACATAAGTTGCTTATTATAATGTAAGGCAATGTCCTTCATTAGCTACAATTAATAGATATAATATACATATAATTAATATTCAATTCGAAAAAACACGGTTGACCCTGAAGGCCATCTCTGGAACTTTCCGCTTATTTTCGATAGTAACTCTCGAAAATCTACATATTTAAGAGGATATAGTAAGTCAGCTCAAATTCTAATTTCGCCCCCACTTCCCCGCGCGTCGTATGCTATGTAGTATGTACCGACATGTTTGTAATCACTAATACTGTAAGTAGATAGGTCGTTAGATACTTATTTCATTAGGTTTATCATATTTATGCCTGTTTCTTAACGCCGACCTAGTCTTCAGTTCTTTAGTTATTTTACGTTTTTATTTCCCATTTTAATTTTACGTCGTCCTGTTGCGTAATGTGTATTCTAATCGTAAGCGACACAACCTCCCCCTTCAAAGGCCGAAGCGAAAATAACCGGGCGGCAGGAATCAAGCTTCAAAAAGCTGATAGTTTAGGTAATTTCTTTTTACAGTGAAAATAATGGTATTTTAAAAAACGTAAATAACATAAGCACTGCTATATAGTTAGTTCAGTTACTCGTAGTATGCAAAGTTTCATGATCTTATTTAAAGTAGTAGTTTCATAGTTATGAAAAGTAGTTTATGAATAACAGCGGTTTATTGTTAATTTTGGAGGTAACTTTGGATTTTTTCTATCGAGAAAATTTTACGGAATCGTGTTTTCGTCTAACATAATCCTTAACAGTAATCCTCAACTTTTTATTTCAAAATTAATGCTGCAATATTTTCGGCATAACGGAGGATTTTGCTAAGCCATTTGAGTTTATATATTTGCCATTAATTTCTTTTGTTTTTATTTATTAAAAATATTTGATACGGCTCGACTGATTGATTTGAAAATCTAATCAGTTCGAAGTCTGAATGAACACTTTCGAATATAGATATCGTACGGAAAAATTTTATTATATACACATACACGCACGCACGCATGTATGCACACACGCTCGCACGCATGCTCGCACGCGCGCAAACACACACACACACACACACACACACGGCCGGATGCCCAGCCGGGAATAGTCGGAACAGCTTCTTAGGACCTCAAAACGTGGAGATTTGATGAAAACTCGCATTCTCAAAATCGGACCGAAATATATAAGTATAACCTACTTTTGAAAATTATTAATTTTCAAAGCGGTAAGTTAAAAACTTGCATTACATGACAATTACTTTTAAATCTTTATTATACATTTCAACATTTTTTCCATTACTTTGTATATCATTTTGTATATCTTTGTAATGACATCTGTTTTTCGGGTATTTCATTACGTTTACAACGATTAATTAGATTTTTTTATTTCATTTTTATAGAATAAGGGTGACAAACGAGCACACAGTCCACCTGATGGTAAGTTGATGTTGTGGCCCATAGACATCTATATTTATCCTCGATTAAGAATCAAAACGTAGATGCGTTGTCACCCCTTAGGACTAAGATGGAATGCCTCGTTTCCAGTAAAAAATTCGCTATATTCTCGAAGTGTTTTTGTAAATAAAGTTCCGAAAAAATAAAAGAAACGTTTTTAAATGCAAAATAATATTAACTATCTAAGCTTGTGAGTTTACATTGAAATGACTAAAAATATTTAACTAGGTATAATCCGCGGCGGCTGCGCATGGGTGATTTCTGGACCTCGACAACAGCACTACTAAATATGAATACAAAACCATTTAGGGACCCTTTCAAACAAAAACAAAAAAAAATTATCAAAATTGGTTGGATGGTTTCAAAATCTATGACGGACATAGAAACATTTATTTTGTTGTATGTCTGTGGAATTCCGAAAAATTCGTTATAAGTTGTATTCAGGATGACAAAAATAATAATTTCACAAATTGCAAACCTGTAGCGGCTATAGATTAGAAATTTTCATTTTTTACGTCCTCCACACTGCCCTTTGTGGGAGGTATTTCATAAAATCCGTACTTGGTAATTTTTAACATGCTAAATAGAATATTCTGGCCAAGTTTTACACTTATCAAGCTATCGTGATAAGTCAGTGCATAGGTTGAAATCTCTTAAATGATATTAAAATAAAATATGGTAACTTAAAAACAAGATTTACTTAAATATTTTAGAACAAAATTAAAAAAAAAGTATTATAACGAAATCACAGAGTTGTCGTAGAGTGTAATTGATTTCGTTTAAATACCTAATATTTTTAAATTTTTAAATTTTGCTTTAAAATATTTAAGCATATGTTTTTAAGGTAGCATGTTTCATTTTAATATCTTAAGAATGATATTGATTTGATAATGTGTACAAAATACGCTATTTAATCTGTATTTCAGGAAGTTGGGAAAAATCCAAGCAACTTCGGATCTCCTTTCTCCTTGTTCAGAGTCCGCAGCTGGAATTAAATATTTTCTAATACACCGACTCTGGAGAAGTCTTGGTACGCCTATTGTCAAATTCCATGAATGCTTTTTTTAGTGAAAGCAAATTCGTACATCAATAATAATACCTTATTTCTTCGAATACTTTTAAAAATTACCTGCTATTACTTTGCATTGACAAATTTCAAGGTGGGAAAAATAATACTACGAAACAGACATTTAAAAAACTATATGCAAATTATTGCGACCTACATTGGATACCTATAATACCTATTCACATTGTCATATTAGATATGTTTTTTCGATTTAGGTTATTTTTTGGCCAAGGCCAAGTTATTTAGTACTTTTTTAGTTTTTAAATTAGTCTCAATAGTGTAGTCTGTAGCCGTAACCGTAACCAGTGCTTCTTGTAATTTAAAAAAAAAATAAAGATGTATTATAACTTCAAATATCTTAATTGTAAAGCGCCAACTAGTTGCCACCAAAGAAACAATTAAAATCAACAGAATGAAGAGGATAATATACATAGCTCTCCCCTGTCCTCCATCGGACATACATACCTTTGTCGACAGCCCATTCGAACTAAGCGCTTTGCTTCGTCTTTCTTAATACGTTATGCAAGCGAGTGGAATTATTTGCCAGCGTCTTTGTTTTCGCCCGATTATAATGTGGGTGTCTCCAAGTTAAAAGTGAATGGGCTTTTATTGCGCTAAGACAGTACGATTTACCACCTAGGGCTTCAACGCCGTTTACCAACACCTGGGATCGCAGTCTAACATTGGATTATAATAAGTAAAAAAAACATATATGAGTGTATAGGGAAGCACCTATTTTTGGATCGATACTCATATTGATCATATCGAATAAATTATATTTTATTGTAACTTATAAATATACATAGAAAGTACTATATCCTCCACCCCTAAAATTGCTTCATTATTTTAGAGATTTTAGACCGAATAATATTGTCCATTAAGTAAAGTTACGGCCTATATACGTCCCACTGCTGGGCACAGGCCTCTCCTCAATTCTGAGAGGGTGAGTCGTGGTAGCTCAGATGGTTAACGCTCGCTGTAAATATAACAGAACGCGAGTAACCCGGGTTCGATCCCCGCCGGAAACAATGAAATTGTTAATTGCAAGTTTAAGTGCTGATTTACCACGTGCTCGGCGGTGAAGGAAAACATCGTGAGGAAACCTGCATGTCTGAGGAATAAGAGAAAAAAAATCGAAGACATGTGAAGTTCGCCAACACGCATTGGGGCAGCGCGGCGGACACTTCCTTGCCCTAAAACCCTCTCAGAAATATTGTCCATTACTTGCAATTTAATCCCTGGAATTATATTTCAGTATAATATTCTTATCTTTTGTATCTGCATCGATATTTTATGTTTTTTTTTTTAAATATTTATTTATATATTCACATAACGTATTAAGGGTTTCATTATCAATAGGTAATAGATTCATAGATTTTTACTTATCGCTACTGCTGCATGTTTATAATCTTTTTCGTCCGCTACATTGTGGAAATTATATTGATATCGCATTGTGACAGTTTTGGCCGCATTAAAAACAATTATTGCAGTCTATTAACAGTGCACTTCTGACCTCAGGACTTCCCCATATGTTACTAAAATGTATGGTCCTAAGCCTTCTGCATCTATCGATTTATCTGCATGTTTTATCGT